CGAACTGCTGAAGCGTCGACCATTTCTGGCCGGCAACTTTCAGCGTCATTAAGCCGCTGCGCCACCACGTCCCCTTATACACGTGCATAGGTTCTTGTAAAAGGCAGCAGCAGGACCTTCAACATTATGCCTTCCTCATGTTCCATAAAACCTTCTGGCCACCTTTGCTATTCCAGAAGGATGTAACCAGACAGAAATACGCTGAAAGAGATGTTTCTTCTCTAGAGTTTCTATGTTGTTGCCCCGTCTTCCTACTGAACAGATGGAATGCACGCTGCAGGAAAGACATTGCAGATTACCTTTTCTCTTGTTTCAGAAAATATCCTAGGATGGCACGGATCAAAGTCAAATTCCGCAGAGACACTGAAAAATAGTGCCCTTAGTTCTTTAACAACAGCGAGTGCCAGTCTAACATGGTCAGTCATGCCATCTGTGACACAAGATGAAACTACGGTAAGTCTGATACGAATATAAGTAAAACAGCATTTCTAGACCATACTTTGAAGGCTTTGCACACGATAGTGAGTGTGTGTGTTGGGGTGGGGTATTATATGGTTTATGGTTCTTCTATCTAGGCGTGGTAATTTACGTGGTTTCTTCATTTATCTGCAAATTAGTAAATGCTGCTGGGGAGGACTGGACTAATTGCATCAAATATGTACGGTTTACATCTTGGAAGATTCTGAAGTACATATTTTGACACGTGTATTTAGTTTACATAATAGTTTCTTTAACAGATTCTTTGTTATTCTTTTCTGAAGCCTATATTTTAGGAAAATAGGAGACTGCCTTCTGCAAAGTCAGACCATTAGCTCATCCCAGTATTTTTTAAAATGCACTCTAAGGCTTCTGATGTAAAATTTTCCCAAGCCTGCCTACAAATGCCAAAGATTAACCCTGCATCACGCAAAGTAATACACTCTGCAACTGATCTAAAACTGTAATGATCTGCCGGTAAAGACATTTTAAAAATTTTATTAGCAAGGTACAAAATATCAAGCAAGAAATGTTAAGGTTGCAAGTTACCTGTTTACACCTGAATTAGAATTTATGTACCTGTGTTTGGGAGATAATTTCAGAGCACTTCTTGGTTGTTATTTTAGATCTTATGCTACAATTGCTATAGTATGTTCTCTAGCAAGCCCTCTTTTTCTGGTATTAGTATCAAAATAAGTGGAATACCAATGCAAAATAATCCATCCATACCTTTTTACACACTACAGTGGTACCTCTACTTACGAACTTAATCCGTTCCATGACTCTGATCACAAGCCGAGTTGGTTGCAAGTCGAAGTAAATTTTCCCATAAGGTTCAATGTAATTACCGTTAATCCATTCCGGCGTCTGCAGACCACGCGTCAGGAG